ACACACACACACACACACACACACACACACACACACACACACACACATATATATATATATATATATATAAGGTTACATAAAACTGTTTGCAGGACAACTTGAACAGACAGTACAATCCTTAACATCACTCTGGATCTGCAGGGAAATGTTTAAGAAGGTGACCCACATTGCACAGAATTCATTTTTAAACCCAATAAGTGTGTGTTTGACTTTTTGCAACTTCATGCAATTTAAAACGGCTTTAATCCAAAGAGCATGAGAGGGGGGTGCAGAGGCTTTCCATCGAAGCAAAATTAATTGTCTCGACCACAAAGTAACAAAGGCGATTGCATTGTTATTGGTTTTGGTCAGTTGCATTGTGCACGAGAAAAAACACCTAAATAATGCAATAAAAGGCTCTAGTCCAATCTGTGTGCCACATATTTCTGAGATTGTCATAAAGATAGTCATTCCAGAAACCAGCAAGAGATGAGCGTCACCAAAACATGTGTACATGATTTGCAGGATGCAGGTTAGCTCTTATACAGTTAGGGTTCAGATCCTTGTACATTTCAGAAAATCTTGCATTGATCCAATGAGCCCTATGAATGAGTTTACACTGAAAGGGTCTTTAGTGTTTCATAGATGATCAGACATATAACATTAGATAATGAATACATTCATTAAGAACTATTTTTACTAAATATGAGCATACCTCTTTAAATCACTCACTTAAAGCACTAAGGAGCTTTAGCAGTTACAAGGAAACGGTATATCCACATCAACATGTAAATGTAAGCACCAAGGGGCTCCACAATCTAATCACAGCACAGTACAGATGGACTGTTTGGTGTAAGTATGCTATTTCTATCATGTATTTGTATTGAGTTATTGTGGTTACAAGAACGTGTCTACAGTCACACACAAATACCTACATGTCAGCAGGGCGACATTGTGTTCCCCATACACTGCCATGTGCCACGTGGCAGGACATGAAAAAGAAATCCTTCCTAAATGCATCTATTTATGAAAGTTAAACTGTGCTAAAGGGGTGAGAGTAGAACTATATTTCCACTCCTCATTGGTGGAATGAAGCTAAATCCCAAGCTCTAACACTCACTTGCAGCTCCTTCGATACTGAGCTTAGCAGGGAACCACGCACACATTTTGGGAACCAGATACCAAATTCCCAGCAATATTGTTTGTATCACTGCATCATTTCAGCTCCAGCAAAGTCTGTAGCATAGGTAATATTATACTGGATGTTGTCTGGGAATAAGCTGGTCGAGGCTTATTTTCACAAACATCTTAGAGGCTCATTTCCACAAATATCTTTCTGATCACTGATTCTCCCAAAGCTACCCAGCCCCTGCTTTCCACACTCTGCCAGAAATATGTGAGATGTCTTGGAACTTGTTGGCTCTGTTATGAGAATGTGACCTATACAGTTTCATGACCTCAGCATGGCCCGTAAAAAGCTCAAGCAAACCGCCATATAATATTGTCCAAGGGCGACCATATCATTACTCTTATATCGACAGCTGCATGAAATTGTTTTTCTCACATTGTGGCTAACAAAAGAGTCCCAAAATGTGTGTGATTTTGTCCAAGAGGGAGGGAGATAAGAGAATGCTCGAAAAAGATGAATTGATGAGGAGTTGAGCTTATAGGTATACATTTCTATGAAACGTGGTACTGTGCATTAGCATTAATATCAATACTACTCGTTGTGCTCTTAGTGTAGACTTTTCTTGTGCACTGTTGTGTAGCGAAACAGCTTCAGCTCCTAAACCTCATCTCAGAAAGAGAGAGAGATGCTGTGCCACTAAGTGTCATTCCATATTACATGTATCATGCTTCATCTCCAAATGTCCCCCACAGTGAGCTGAACATCTTCTATAGATATAAGTCCAGGATTAAGTCATCTTTCCCGTCCAGGAATGATCTTATTTTCGGCCGATGCATAACCTGCTACCACAGCCATCTGCAGTACAATCGATCACGTTAACACAATGAAATGTCTAGCAGATATGAATATTTTCTTGCTGTGCATTTCTTTTCTTTTTCTGACAATAGAATCACAATCTTATACCCTCTCATTGCAATGCTTACTACAGGACATTACTTTAAGACATGGAAACAACAGCCATGTGCTGGCATTACACAAAATTGTACTTCCTAGAGGCTGGACCTCCCCCCCCCCCTCACTGAAAGAGATAAACACAGGCATCCGAGATGCCACATTTAATGGCCCACAATCTCACCGATGGCAGTATTTTAGGACGCAAAAGGCAAGCAACAAAATAGTGATGCATAGTGAGCATGTGAAATCTGGCTATTTTCTCAGCTCTTTAGGATTGTAACAGCAACATCCAATTACATAAAGAGCACTTAGCCAGTCTTCAAGCTTCCATATAAATATGCACTTTTCTCCCAATTTAACCCTTGTGTTGTCCTCCCGATTGCCATACACCTGTTGTCCTCTGGGGTCAAAAATTACCCCAGGACAACACAAGGGTTAAATGTCTGACTCCACAGCAAGCCATTTGTTTTTCACAGTGAAGATCTACACTGATGTTCACCCCACAGATCCCAGCCCTCTCTCCGACCCTCTCCTACTACAACAAGGACACAATCCCTTACTGGCTTCACACCCAGGACTACTGCCAACTGTGGCCAATGGGGCCCTTGGCCAATCCAGAAACGCTGGCGCTGCTTGGGACGTTGGAAGTCGCGTCTCTTGTAGCAGCACCATTCACTCTGCGCCAACCAAGCACCCACTTGCTGATTTAATTAGATTTTCAGATTGCTTTGTTTTCTGTGTTGCTGTGGCGGGGTCAACGCCAAAGGCAAGCCAGTGATTCAATGCGATGATATTAGAAAATCATCTCAGAGACGGGCAGTGACAGATTCCATAAATCACCAAAACAATACGTGCCACCTGCTATTCACGGCATCAAAAAAAAAAAACATGCAGTAAAAGCATGCAGTCTATTTGAAACAAAAGCAAAGGGAGGCAGAAAGCCTAAAAAAACTGAAGCTCACAACTGAGTTCATGTCAATCACAGCTTTAATCACAGCTTTAAAGGGAAAAGCAACAGCAGGGAATTTTGATGGTAAGATTTTGAAGTTGTTTCATCAGTGAGTAGCCTACCTTATGTCCTAGGTTTCCTGAAGGCCCGTCCTCCCCCGTGTCCCCCTGTGACGGAAACAACACACAGAGCAGTTAGTGAAAGGTCTCTCGTTCACACATTAGTGAATAGCTTTATGACGGCATGCCATTTCAGCAGCGATCTTGCTCCTACAGCTGTTCCACAAGTTACTGCTGACATAGTGACTCAGCAGCTGCAGACCGGGATACTGTTTCCCAACAACTGGAAAGCTCAAATCTGAACCTTGTTATTAGGGTTCATTTTACTGTCCTAATAAAATCATTTAAAAAAAAAAAGGACAGGACAGTTATACAGGGTGGTGTAGGACAAGACATAATGGGAGAGAAGTGGAAAGAGATTGTCCACAGTATTGTTAAGAGAGAGGAGATGGAGGTAGATAGTTATTCAAGAAATTAAGCTCACACAGAACTTGCTGCAAGCTAAGAATCTAATTAAATGTGATGTCTATTCACGGTCACACCTTCATTACTGCAACTCAATAGCCTTGTTTAGGAAGAACAGGGAAATGTGGCAAATCCTAATAACTGAGATGCCATCTCTACACTATGGGTTATGAACCCCATTATTCTAGAAAACACTCTCAGTCTACCTTTTATAAATACTGAGCATGATCTGATAAAATACTGTTCTTTGACTGGACATCAAGCGCGTGGCAGGTTGTTATACTTTCCCTGGACTCATCAATGAGATGATTATTCCATTTATGAGACAAAGGAAATTCACAGCTGCTGACGCTGAGTCATTAAGAACAGATAAGCTTCCCAGAAAAAGCATATGGGAATGTATGTGTTTCACAGTGCTCTCAATTCTTCTTTAATTTACATTTTCTTTTCAATCCCCGACACAAAACTCTTTTTTAGAAAAGCTAATAACATTTTCACACTGATGAGTGTGATAGGAAAAATGGAAGGTTTAGACAGCTAATCAAAATTCACTGTCAGCGAAATAATAAAGTGTCTTGAGTAAAATTCCTCGACTTATTCACTTTGGGGGTACAATGGGTATAAATTGAATTAGAGAGTACTAATTGAAAACACAAGCCATAAGAGCAGGAGAGTTGTAAATGGTCAAAAACAAATTAAAGGCATTGTAAAAGGGGGAGAAGTTTTAATTTCACCATGATGCCTGTGTGTTTTTTTTTTCTTTTGCATGTAAATGCAGGAGCTGTAAAGCTAGTAATACCAGGGTTTATGTGCAAGGCCATAGAAAATGGATTTCCTTTCAAGTAAGCTGCATTCTTATGACCCAATCCTTATCTGTTTAATTTCCTGAGGGATTCTGGATTAATCATAGCAGTTTAATCCCTTTGCAGTGCATTAGAATCCTCCATCAAACTCCTGACTGTAATGCAGGATCGTACTTTCTGTTGGAGTAACACAGCCAAAGTAATCCCCGCACACTTTCCTAAGGAAACCTCTGTGAAGGTCACTATGATTGGCCTGCACCTCTCATTATGGATGTTTTAAATGCTCTAAATGTCCCAAATGTCTTTGATTAATCCCTACAAGTAAGGATAAATTGCTAATAAGTATACTCTGACTACTTTTTAATCTTACACAGAGTGAGATTCTCATGTTGGTAATTGAAAGTCTCATGAGCTTAATTTATTAAGAGTATTTGCTTTGACTTTGTTACCCCTGTTTAATGTATTAGAATGTAAATCTAAAATAGTGCAGCACCGTTTCATAATCACTGGAACTCCCTTGGAAATGTAGGGATCATTATAAATTCAATACGCTTAAACAGAGGTCCACTGCTACCACACTTTACCAGACATATTAATGTGCAACAAGGTCAGAGGCAAAAAAGAGAAAAGCTATTACTACATGTGATTGTGTCAAAGCAAGACGTTTCTGATATACTGCACTACTGTTTTTCTCCTAGTGGTAGTGGCACATGATCATTTGCAAATCCCACAAGACATGAGAAACATTTTCACTGGATGATTAGTGACATTTTGTTGTCTTATCTGCTCCAGTTGCTTACTTCACCAACATTTTAGCTAATGCTAGTGAATAGCACACTGCATCTGGTTTGACAGCATATAATTATGCAGCTCTGCCTGCATTATTAAATCATATACATATCAACCTCTTACAGTACCATGTCAAACCAAGATGACTGATTTCTAGGTATTTAATGGGAAAATACAGTGTGTCACCAAAGCCAAAGCCCCTCAGTCTATCAAACAGCAACTGTGGTTTGTGGGAACTCATTCAAACTCTATATCAGGTAAAGTAAATTATCTCAAAGCACCACTGTCAGTGTACTAATTGCCGGCGTGGCACGCTGCTGCTGTGCCTGTAAATGTATTGATTTTACTCATCATTTAAACATGTCTCCCTGCCTGGAATTTATTCAATCAAGACTAAACTTTAGGTTACGTGGTATCTTTCCAAACTGATTTCAGCTCTCATCCTGCAACAACAATTCATTATATGCCAGTATAAGGAGATGAACAAGCGGAGTTTTAATTAAGAAAAGGAGGAACCTCGAAGACCTGAGGTGGGAGGAAGCTATGGGGAGGTCAGATATGTATGCCATACACACTTTTTGCTGACAATAGAATTAGTGTAAAAATAACTGTTGATTTATACTTCAACATTTCATCATTTAAAAAAAAAGAAAATGATGTACACAATTCAAGAAACCCAAAAAACTTCAGATTCAGCAAATTACTCTTGTAACCTCATATTAGGTAAGTGTATGTTTGTGTCACTTGTTCATGCCAAAAGCAATAAATACAAAAATACCTTATCAATAAACCGGAGTCAAATTGATCACTGTAAGCGGTTGATTAGTATAACCGAATTGTTTTTCCTTTTCTCCATTTCTCATGCAGACAACCATCTTAATTGACATTTATATTATTAAATATTTATTACATGAATGTAACAAGAGCTCTACTATTAATGGTTTCACAGGCGGCTTCAACCACTGGTGCTTTCCCCGGACACATTCGTTTTTCTGTCTCCTTCACTAGCAGCTATGACTGTTTCTCGTTGTTTGAGTAGACGACACGATGTAGCCTGGGGAACAGCTTGTTCCGCTGCATCTCGGTGGCTTGTTTTCGTCAGTTTGTCATAAGCCTCGAGGAGACAACCTTTTTCATTGAGAGCACGTTACTCTCTTCTTCTGGTCATCATTTTAACATGCAGGCAGCTGCGGCCTCAGGTAGCCAGCAGACCGTGAGGCAAAGTATCATGGGATTAAAGTAAAAAATAGAATTACTGTAGTTTGTAATTTGTTTCCTAGTTAATGTCATGTTTTAAAGGACCCACAATGAACACTGTAAGTGGACTACTCGATTACTATGAGCAAATTATTTCAACAGCATTTGTATAGGAGTGATTCTGTCCCAACATCACTATGACTGTGATCACTATAGGTGGTTTGCACTGTTTATGCTCTATTTTTACAAAAAACACTTACAAATCCCATAAAATACAATGCTTTTCCGTAGCAACGACATCCAGGTTTAGATCGGTGGTATTGGTAAAATTGGTGCTGACAGACATAAAAGCTGAAGCTAATTAAAGATAAAGAGCTGTGTAAATTGTCTGTGTACCAGCCATATAATAAAGCATAAGCCTGCGTCAGAATTAAACATGGCATTGTACTTAAGTTCAGTTAAGTTTCAATTCACCATCGGGATTTACCAGGCTTTTGAGAAACAAATCATATACACCTGAGCATACTATTAATCCAAAGTGGAACAATGGGTCCAACATATTCATAAAAATAACAAAAATAGGAAGAGTAAAAACAATGATGGAGTGTTATAAACTGACTGTGCCAGTTAGTCTTGAATGTCTAGTCCATGATCAAGTTTTTCCTTAACTTCATTGATTTAGTGTTCAAGGCTGTAATAGGATTTGTTGAGAATTCTGTTGTTCAGTACGCAAACAATTGGTGCCAAGTATTGATTTGTTGAGGACCTGAAATTAGATTTCAAGTGTTAACAGCATGATCCCCTGACTCATAGCACAAGCCATCGCCAGCAGAAAGACTCGGGGAAAAAAAATGGAATGGCCTCCGGAAAACCATGTTAAAGTCATTGTTGAGCAATGTAACACAAGACATGTGCACCAAGGGTCTCTCTGGGTGTGCTCTTAGGCTTCGGTTCAAAACTAACTCAGTGTATATATATCAGTGTTTGAGAAAGAGCATGTCACGGTGCCTGCCATACGTGCTGCCTTTTGTGAAATGTAAAATTGCCTGATACATTCTTGCCCACTGATTATAGTGATTTTACTAAGCAGCAAGAAATTAATTACCAGGACTGCCAACACACTCAAAGTGCACATATACACACACATTACAGCTTGAGTGCTGATCCCTGCGAGGTCAATTAAGAGTCATTAGAGGCCAATTAAAACACATTTACGAATCTGATTTGTACAATCTGTTGCAATATACACAATTTGGGTAATATAATTCTATATTCCTACAAGAAAATGGAAGAAAATGGGCTTGCACAACGTACATTTAATATACAAAGATCTATAACTGTTTTTAAGAGTTGTCCCCTCCTGAATCCATACATTTTTAAAAACTAATTGACTAGCAATAACAATTATAAAGATTTAAAGCTACAAGTGTTGAAAACATCTATCTCTCTGAACAAAATGATGCTAATTTGTTACTGACATTGACTGAACACATAGCAGCTATGTGTCAAACCTGAATTGCTTTCTTAATAATTAAGACATCTATCTAATTTCAGATTTCAGAGACCTAAAATGTTCCAGAATAGCAGCACCTGGTTGGTAGGCTAAACAGCGTTAAACACAATGACACTTAAACAGTAAGAATGATTCACTAAGTAGACAGCACAAAGGAAATACCCCGATTCCGAATGTCCGTGCTGAGCTCTACAGGTACAATGATTTTACACTAATAAATATATGTTGATTTTGTGCCTTCCAGGAATGAGTGGTTTTCCAGAAACAAGTCATCCTGCATATCTTAATCCCACAGCTACATCATGTTAAATAGGACACTGACCCCAGAAGCCATCTGGTCTTATCAGGCATACAGTACCACCACCTGTTCATCCCTATGAATCCCATTCATAGCTGAAAGCATTCTCCCTTGGTTCTTTTCTAACCTTGCACAGACAGCTAAAAGGGGGATGTATTACTCCAAACAATTTGTCAGGGGAAAAATACCATTATTTGTCTGGGTATTTGGTGGGTTTTTTATGTTTTTTCCTTGCTCTCCAACCAACACAACACCTACAATTTTCAGTGATGGGGCATTTACCGTTTACATTCCCACCTGTCTATTGAGCTGTCATGTAGAAATGATACTATTTTTCTAGTGATTGGACAAATTGATTTCAAAAATGATTTCCTAATTCACACATCTTGGGAGATTTGTGAGAAAATTCATCTTGTGAAGGCAATTGTAAGGTAGCTCTCTGAAACAACGTAATGGCTGAACATGACCCTATGTCAGACACTACAGCATAGACGAGAGAGAGATTTGTCAGAAATTAATTTCTGACAAAGTACAGATTCGTCCTACAGGGACATGTGCTCTCATTCTTCACATTTAGACCTTGCAACTGTCCTGGAAAACTAATGGAACTGGCCACAGAGAAAACCCACAGGAACAGTTGAGAGTATCCTCTGAGAACAAAACTATGGTAATATTTACAACATGGGACAAAGCATGGTGACCCAGTGATACCACTCTGAGATTGAGTGAATGTTTCTCAATGATGTATGACTAACAGTGAACCTTCTTAAGTCTAGACTGGAGTGAAAATATTGCATCTATAACATTCGCTTAACCTCTGCATGTTCCCTATTAATTAAATATCAATATCATAAAAATGTTGTCCGTACCTTGTCTCCTTTCTCTCCATTTAATCCTGGGAGTCCTGGAAGACCAGCATCTCCCTGTGCACACAGTATGCATTATAGTCGGGTTAAAAGATGACTTGTAATCAAAGAGAACATGTGGCTATTGTTATTGGATACATATACATACTTTGAACCTTTTGCAATAAAGCACAAAGTTATACACACACACACACACACACAGAGTATATTGATACAGTATATATGTATATCTGTTATCATTATATATTATTGACAATATGACAGTCATTTGTCAGAAAATACCCTACACTATATTCAACAAATCTAAGTCTTATGATTTCTGAATGAAAAATAGTTCTTGACGAAAGTTGTACGATTTTCTTCAACATGCAAATAATGATATATAGGTATTTAGCAATGTAGAGGCGAAGTGTAATCTTTATTATTTGAGCCTATTGTAACAACAACAACAACCTATTCAACATTAATTTCTATACAGTAGTGAAATTGCGTTCTAATCTTGGATCCCAAAAAGGTTGATTTGTCTGTTAATCTATGAAAAGTTGATTCTGTCTGTAACTCACAAGCTACATTTTGTGTGTGGAACTAAACATTACCTTTAAGCTTTCAGGTCTCAATTTGCATTTCAATCTAACATTAATATTGGCAGTTTAAAAAATCCTTTCCTATTTTCACAAATTCATAGCAGTGTATCGATTTCCCATCCCTGAACAGTTTGGGAGAAATATACCAGTGTTTGCTTCTACAACATGGCTATACTGTCTCCTTGTGTGGTATAAATGTCCTTTAACTGGCAGTTTAGTGCCTATACAGGATGAGTAAATCAGTGCTGGTTCAGTTACAATAGACATTACACTTACTCAATTAGAGGCCCTTGTTGGGTGGAATTGATTGTACCTTTTCAGCTGGACAGTGACATCTGTCAATTGACTTTGAGGCCGGCTGAGACAGCATCTGGGGGAGCTGGGATGTAACCAGGGGAGGTGAAGTCCCATTAAAGGTCTTCTTGGCTTCACACTGGATCAATACAGAAATTTCACCATTTAGCCATCTTCCTTCGTCATGTTCGTAACATGGCAAAAAACTGCAGAATTCACTGTAATGCAGCACACCTGGGATTTTAGCTGTAATATATTCACGTCATGCTGCCATAACAAATATAAAATGCATACTGTGCAGGGAAACTTGGATAGTACTAAGCAGACAAGCAGTGATACGTCTCTCTCAAGGTTGTGACGATTCCCTCAGGGTAATTTTACACTGACATGACAGCATGCTTACGTGTAATGGTAAGGGGTCAAAGGTCATCTCTCCATTTGGAATCTTCGTAACATTAGCTGGAATTGATTCTAGGGTGATGGAAGATCTCTGTTATCGAGTTTCTATCTGGGGACGTGTGCCCTCATGGACTAGACCAAAAACTTGTTACACTTTCATTGTCTGATCTCACCGCATAGGTTAGAATACAAGCTAGTACAGTCTGTTACTACAGAGCACCAAGACACCGGGTGATTCTACTCCAATAGGTGACCTACTGATGTATGGTTTTCTGTCTCAAAGGCAAAATGGAAGGCAAACTTATATTGCATCTTCTCATTTAATGCTCTAAGTTGTGAAATGCATTATATATGATACATTTAGTCTCAAACTACAAATACTCATTACTTTGATTTATAATAAAGAGCACTGAGGTGAAGCATCATAGCGTTTTACCTTTGGCCCCAGCAGGTCACAGCAGTTTTCCATTTCGGCCATATAAGGGTCACAGTAGATCAGTATTTGTTTCAGTTCAATCTGTGGGAAAGAGCTCTCATTAGGGACCATTACAGCATCATACGTTAGTTTCATCATCCCATCATGCTCCTTTTTTCACTGACAAACGTCTGCTCTTCACTGGTTAAGAACATACAAGTTGTTCAATTGTCAGCTGTTTTAGTTTTCCTGACATTGTCCATTGCCAAAAAAACACTTCAAAAACATTGATATACATATCAAAAGGCTTCAACATCTGCATGAATTGCAGCTGCTTCAGAGCAGAACTTGAACCCTACCATTTTTTCAGATGTACTGACTTACAGTTTTACTAATCACATGGACTAAGAAGTCAGCTGTTAATGCTACTTAAGCCAAGTTCTACTCTGAGGCATTGGGTGACCAAACCGCAAAGCTGACCGAATATTTTTTTTTAGCTCTTTGGGGCATGAGCATGACTAACACATACAAGACAATAGAGGATTTACAGAGCTTTAAAAAACAGGCCCCTGGGGCATGTTTAAATATATTTTGAAAGCACTAGTGTGTTTCAGAAATGTCTGTGACGACAGTACACTATTGATGGAGATGAGTTACAAAATGACTGCATCAAAAACTGGTAAACCCTTAAATGACAGTGTGTAGATTTAGCAAAAGACAATAAGGGAGAGAGAGAGAGAGAGAGCAAAATGTTTTTCACAAAGTTTGCGTGGGACATACATCTACAGGTCGTCCATCCTCAATTCGTGTGGTGATGAGAGTGCGCCCACTGGAGTAAATGTCGTCCTTCTCATCAGTCAGTCTCCTTTCTATTAGCTTGCAGTCCATGTAAATGGAGACGATGTTGCTCTGTACTGAAATGCTCAGCTTGTGCCACTGGCGATCAAAAAGGGCATGTAGGTCACGGCTCTTAAATGTGTAGCGGAGATTGTTCTTTAGCTGGCTGTGGAAAGAAAACTCCAACACCTTCTTGCCACCATCCACCACAACAGATACCTGAGGAGCAGAGAAACAAACATCCATTTCGTGATATTCTATTATATTTGTTGATATTGAAACTGATATGTGACATAAAAACATACAGCGGGGCCCACCTGACTACCTCCCGACTGGTCGAATATCTGCCAAAGATACCAGCGGTCTTTTTTTGTCGTTCTTCTTACCCGGAAGATGGTGACAAGGGAGTATTCACTTGAAAGCCCACTTGGAAATATTTCTCTAAAAAAAAAAAACATCATATAACATTCTCCCAGGATTTACATAATAAATCATCATTAAAACAACAACAGAAATGAAAGACGACAGTGTCAAGTTTCATTTCTCAATATTGAACTTTGACTCTTTTAAAGCTTTCAGTGGCTGAACAATGAACCAGCCAATCAACTTCAATGATCAATAAAACATTGCAATATCCTCCTGCTGCAGAATTATGCACACAAATAAACCTGACAATCTTGATTTAGCTTGATGAATTGAATACTGGCGTCCCTGTCTTTCAGATAATGAAAACATGTAGAAATTGATCCAAACTCTCAGAAGCCAATCTTTTACCTCACTGAGATACTATGTGCTACAGTTATGGCTGCCTAGTGCAATGCAGTTATAGCTTTATGTGTATGACCTCAGCTGCTCTGTAAAGCCAAATAGAGCAATCCGGTGTTCACGGATGAAAATATGTTCCAGCTGCAGCAAACTATGCAGAGAAAATAGGGAATATACAGTAAAGACACACCCACTCTAAAATGAATGTATTCGGTAACTCATCTCTCAACCCACACCCTCCCTAATTTTGTAAATTGCATAAATAAAATAAACAAACATTGTACCCTTCAAAATGCTCTAACCCTAACTCTAAACTCAGATTAACAGTCAAAAGTGGAAGAGCATAAACATAATAAATCAAGATCAGCAAAAATAATAATAATGCAATGATAAGGTCATTGAGAAAGCAGAGCACAGCCGAGGGGAGGGAGAGAGAGAGTTTCTTTAGACAGGTTGGAAATTAGTTTTCACTCCAATATATCATCTCCTATTCTCTCAGAGCCTCATAGCCTATTCTATTGTGTCCCTTGCATTCTTTGAGATTTCGGTGTAAACCGTACATGACTAAGATGATGAATACACCAAGTTAAAGCTCCCGAAAAATGCCTCTTTGAGAGGCCAAGGGCTGGGAAGGTTATTTGTTGCCCAAGGGCTAAAGGACAATTTTAGCTGCAAATCAATATGAAAAGTGGCAGGGTAATTTATAAAAATGAGGATTTACAAAATGCATTCAACACAGAGTATTTCCATGCTGCATGTACATTTAACTACTTGTAGCAAATGTGTTACACGTTATTATAAGACGCAGGGAGTAACATAAAAGAAAAATGTAAAAGAAAACTCCAAGAGCCTTTGCACGACACTGCAACTCATGGAACATAGCATAACGTGACACATTTAAGCAGGTTTAATACAACAGAGATACTCTGCGAAATACACCGCTGGGCTGTTTTCTGTTGGAGTTCACTCCCTACTTTATGAAGTCCCCCATGAAGTCTGATCTTATTTCATACCACAGTCTGTCTACAGTGAGGCACACTTGATCTTTGGGGGCCACAGGGTTAAAGTTATTGACCTCGTGTTGACTGCCATTTGTGAAAACTGCCATTGACTGCCATTTGAAGAAAACGCTACTCTGCATGTAAGTGAGTGAACGAAGTGGCTCTGCATTCATCTCCCCTGCTTTCATGCTACAATGCTGAAAAAAACTAACTTTTACAATATACTTTGGCTTTTGCCAACCCTGTATCTTCAAACTTCCTTTTATTTATAACAAATTTAAATTGGCAAATTTTAGAGAAAAATGTAACAGCCTCTTGGATTCAATACCAACGTTTGTTCCAATGCGAGTCGCGTGACGTTTGTATGCTGTTTAACAGGCTTGGATTCTACAATGTAAATAGTCTTGTCTGGTTCCAAGCCAAATGACTGAAACAGCGGTAAGGAGCAGCAAAAAATGTATCTTGAGCGACGTATCCTTTATTCAACATATTCTCAAATAGTGCACATCGATAGCAATAACTGGAAGAAGCAAAAAATATCACAGAGCTTCCACAAGAGTTATAATCACAACTAATTCCATTTTTTTTTATAAAGAACCACCATGTGCTTTCTGGAAACTATCAGCCCTCTTGGAAACGGTCTTTGGCCATGCATATTGCTTGGCAGGCACTAATCCTTGTATAATCAAAGGCAATGGTTTGACAGCATGTCACAGCAACACTACCAGTCCGCTAGAGAATCTCCCGGAAACGGCTTTAGTGTCCTGGCTTGTAAGAAATCCTATCATGGGGAATTTTTTTAAATGAGTCTGAGGAATCAGATTGCCGTAGCTGAAACAATCAAACCCTAAATGTTAGACTAGTTGGCTCACATCACTATCACTGACACTGAATCCTCCAACAGATCAAAGTGGACCATCAACCATGTCAGTTTATACACTAAATGCATCCTTCCTGCTAGCAAGGACCATAACTTCCTCTCACCATGACTCCCCTGTTCTGTTTAAACGTGGAAGTGCTATGCTTGCCAGCATGATAGACTGCCGGTGATGGAGCCAAATTAAAAGCACGCCTGTGATCTGGAAGGATATCTTATAAAGTGAAGAGATGCTATACAACTGATTGAGTGTGCATGCGTGTCGCTGAGGGGTGTGAGACTGCTATGTTATCGTCATTCCAGTGCATACATAATGGAGAGATAACACTGTGATAGCAGCAAGCCACCAGTGACAGACTTTCAAAAATGTGTGATCTGCCACCATGACTAGGTGACGTAAAATTAATTCAGAGTCATCCGCTGCCTCCAATCAACATTGAAATGTTTTATCAAAATGTGCAATCGTTCATTGGTAGTAAATCACATGACATAACAAAACGGCTGCTATGACTATGAAACAAGTTGTCGCGGCGGCTGCCTTAGTTGTTTCTCACTTCCCCCAGGCCCAAGCATTACTTCCCAGACCTGCCATTTTCTGTCCACCCATCAGATGCCCTCAGATTTTCCCACGAGTCCCCAGTCACCTGACTCCTACCCCAATTACCCCCCCACAGTATGTATACCAGCCCATTTCCACCTGCTCCTGGCCAGATCATCCATGTTGCTTCATGCCTTTTCTTTCCAGCGTCCTCAACCTGAACCTGACTCTTTACCTGTGCCTTTTACCTGCACCGTTCTTCTTAACCTGTGGATTCTCGGCTACTTCTGTTTGGATTTGCTGCCTTTGCCAGTAAGCCTTCCTATCATCATTTTATCATTTAAATCACTGAACTATTAAGAAAAGAACCAACCAATATAGAAACCCATTTATAGCCTACTGTTTGAACACACTATGTCAACAAAAAAACTAAATATTCTATATTTACAAAAATCCAATGCTATAAACATCAGATAACTCTCAGCGGACAATGGGAACTGGAGCTGAATTCAATAGTCGATGATGACAACTGGGAAAACATATGTTCTACAGTAGCTGTTGGGAGATATGGATAGAATTTGATTGGAAGGTTAAAATTAGATTGTTTAGGACCGTGCTGACAGCCTGTGTCTGTAAAAACAATCCTACCAACCAATGCTGGAGAAACTGTGGTGTGGTCGGTGACCATAATCATACGTATAGTTTGGGACTGCCAAAGGAATACAAACATTTTGGAAAAACATCAAAAACGAAATGGAGAAAGCTATTGTTCTTATTGGAAGTATCACCTCAACATCTGTTTACCACAGACCAACTTTTTATTCTGCAAGAATAATAACTATTAATTGGATGAAGCCAAATCAGGTGATTTGTTTTGTTTTGTAACGTTAATTGCCTGTCTGTCTGCTTGTGTGCGTTTGAGTCACTTTCCTTGAACACACACTATGACACAAATTACAGTCCTTGCATGTGGCTTTGACAGCAAATATAGGCAAGTTAAAGCACTTCAAGTTGCTAGGATGTGTGAGGCCATACACTAAAAGGTCATTGACATCAATGCAAATGGTTACAAAATATATTTCTGGACAGAAAATCAAAAGTACAGACAAGCACTGTATTTTTCCATAAATAATCTAGATGCTTATGAATCAAAAAAAGAGTGAATCAGCTTGACAGTATCGATTGCAGAAAACCCATATGATTAATTAGCTGACAAGAGAGTCATAAACCACCGAAGCCACAGGTTGATAAACAAACACGAACCCTGGTGATTGATTGGTACGCTATATATCAGCCTCAGTGGCTCCTTTGAATCTATAATTCACGCTACTATTCATAATATATTTAGCTTCTACATACAATAAGAAAATGGTTTACTGTATTCCATTGAACATTCGACCTGTTACTAGTTTTTTTGATAATAGTTAGCATTCCAGTACCACATATCACATGACGAGACATTGTGGGCACATTCAAAGGAAGTGTTAGTTTCATTCCTATTTCAAAATGAGCAATGGCTGTTATGTCAAATTATTTGGAAAATGAATTAAGTCGTTTTGTGCTGGGCTTCATGCTGACAATTTGATTAGTTATCATCTTTAAGACTAGACAAGAACAAACAGGCCTTAGAACATTCAAGGTACACAAATGGGTGTAAAGACGAGTGTGCATTCTTCCTTTATACTTGGGTTTGTTTTATTTTGCAAAACAAAGACTATAATGTCAGTCCTAAAACTTTAATGCAATGAGGTTGTTGCTTGCTACTTTACTGCAAATAACAAGTCAAGAAAAGGAAAAATCGCCGATTGATCTTCTTTTGCCGAACAGCAGGAGAAAGAAAAGCACTGTATTCTTCAGACAGACAGCAACTGCAGCACTGCGCTTCAATACTTTGAGAGCAATTTTTGAATACATGTGGCATTTTTGCAGGGCAATTTCTCACCAACACACAAATGTTACTTGAGTGTGTCAGCTCTGATCTATGCGCCATAATGTGGAGCCCAAGGAGCAGGCAGAACATTAGCAAGATCTAGAGAGTCGAGCATCTATTGCTGCATATCTTGCGAGTAAAAGAGAGCAATGTTTTAGTGGCTGCGGCGGGGGGGCAGAGGGGCCTCCTGCTCCGTGCAATTGCCCTCGCTTTCCTTCCTCAGCTGACATGCAGTATCACCTGTCAAAGTACTTAGATAATTGGATATGAGAGGGATCGCAGTCTCGCCACTATAACCAATGACGCTGTCAGCAGTGTCATTGAGAGCCAGCATCTTCTTGCACTATGGGCGCGGACTGAGGGAAAGGACTGAGGTAAATGTATTTTCGGCTGGCTGACTGAAACAGGGAAGCAGATCACAAATCACCTGGCTCTATGATTCTTTCACCTATAGCCAGAGAGGGAGAGAGTGGCAGTAAATGTTTGCAGTCGCATGTCATGTAAAAACGCTAAATATATCGTCCCCACCCTGGAGAATGACACAGAGTTGTAATTCACTGTTACAACTTAAGGACACGAAACAATGAACGTCACAAAACACTTTTTTTTTTAAATCCTAAACTTCACTGTAAAGCCAAGTTTGGAAACTCCTACAGGTTCATACTGTATGTGCCACGGGTCTTTCTTGATACAACTGATGGTACTAAATTTAAAAGTGTAAAATATTATATATAATTTTAATCCCTAATATAATCATAATTTTAGCATCAAGGTGAACCAGTTGACCAGGGGAATAAAGGTCTTCAGTAAATGGCACCTCAGTGATTCATTTATGAAGTTATTTTAATATTCCTGTCTTATAATACGTGCTCCAGCATTTTTTTTCATTCCTTTATGTCCCACTTTTTGCCCTTAGGAGATTTCTAGAATAAACGCGATATATATTAATTCTGTTTAAATGATTCCCTGTCTAACAGCTCACCTCACAGCTTGCCCTTATTAGCCAAGGCAAATGGAACTATTGCTCTGAGCAGGGTATATCTGGGTTGCCTCAAGCCAGCCCTTTTATGAAAACCAGTTATGGCGACACTGTTTTATATCTTACAATATCACTGGATCTGAAGGAAAGCAAGCTTAAACCCTCCTCATGTTCTGCACAGCATCATGTGGTTTTGTATGAAATAAATCCATATTCAGAACCTGTACATGAGGGAGCAAAACAGTAATATCCTGTAGGTGTTAATCCAGATGAGGTCCTGAGATGTCCTGAGATGTTATAAGGAACCAGAGTACAACATCTGAACCCAAATGATGCAGATCACAAACACACTAGCATGCTAACGCACACACGAGGATGCTACTCACTTTGTTGGCTTAATGAGTGGACTGCCTCCTAAACGAAACGACGGCAGGTCCTCTGTGATCGTTCCCTTTCGGAGAAGAAACTTTTCTGTGAGGTCAAATCCTGTGAACGGATTAACAACGTGTCACTAGGTTTGAACAAGCCGCTGTTGACTTATTCTTACAAAGCAAGTGTGTTCACTCAGAGCATACCTGTGATTTCCAGGGGACGATCTAAGACATCAGAAAACATGTGATCCTCTACACTCAGAGGGGGACAAGAGCCATCTAGAGAGAAGCCACCAAGACATTGGTTGTGCCGGGGACAGGTGTTCATTTATATTTTGGACCAGTTTTGAGTATTACAGAAGAGAAGAGGATAAATTGAATCATGAATTCATTTCCACAGTGCATTTCCTTTCCAGTTCTACAGCAGAAATCGACATCAGAGCAGAAAATCAATTCACTTTTTTTCCCATTAACCTTAAAATAATAACTAACCGAGACAAGACTGGGATGTAATTCAGAGGCAAGCATAGATCTGCTTTACCAAAAATGAACTGGAAAATGACTGTTTGAATACTGATTGATGACATTTGTACAAGTCTAAAGTTTTAGTTCAAGCTGCCACACTCTTCATTTTCAAACATATAAAGTGGATTCCCCAAATAATGCCATCACAAAGGGTGGATTCCGATTTAAACAAATTAAGAACCATACATATTGATATATATGATAAAGGCAATACAAAACCCTTTTAACCATAAAAGATTTAAACGTCAATACATCTGCAATATTAATGAGGGATCACTCGTTTCAGAGATACAGTAACACGTGTCTGCTCTCTGTTGATACCAGGACATTTGAGAGAAAAACTTTAACTGATACTTTTTTAAATGGCACTCCACTGTTGAAAGACATGAGTTGCTGGGCAAAAAGCACACATACCTGTTCGTTCACTCAGTGCCATTCCAAAAGTGCAAGGAATGAAATGTACAGTCCAAAGGAAAGAAGTCCATCTTAACAGGCAAATAATCATGGCTCCGTCACTAGGAAGCAGTCCCACTTCAAAACCTGGATGCAGACAGAACAGTTTTTTATTTCACAATGCCGATCAATCGTAATACTTGGCCAAATTGGGTGCCATTGAATTTTTTTTTTTCCGAATGCAAGTGACAACAAAGGCAGGGCTAACAGACAGGAGATAACAGCAGACAGAAGCAAACAAGGAAGCTCTATTGATTTTCATTACAAACGTGCTACTCTGTCGGGTGCAACAGAAACATTGACTCTGGGGTGATCACTAAGCAAGCTAAGATGGATAAAACTCAAAAACAGATTTCACTACTTTCTATTTGCAATCATATTTCACAGTGTTCTATCAATTAACTTCAAATCTGAGCTTTTTTCATGTTTTAAACCTTCCACTAAATGAGATTATAAGCAATGTGTATTATTGTGAAATAACATTTTGAGTGTAAATCCTATCTGATTCTGTTAAGACCCGACTCTCACGCCAATGTGTTTGTCCTTAAAGCCTCTTTGTTTGTTTATGTAGTCACTCAATCTGGAGAATGCACTTCTTCATTCATTAGTCTTCAGGAACACCTGCCACACAGTGATGAATGGAGATGTCTATACTTCCGCTAAATCATTATACACCAAGCAATGTTTCTGTTAAGGTTTGGGTTCCTTAACTAGCGAGCCGAGCCGCCACTTGTTCTCCATTGACAGTTTGTGTTTCATTAGGTCAGTATGTCATCGCCACAGATTAGCTGTGGAACTATGCCGAAGCTTGACTTCACAATACAATCCACAGCAAGATAAAGGCAACTAAATGGGGAGATGTCAGACGTTGATCTAAATGCAGTATAGCATTTTAAAAAACTTCGTTTTCAGTATCTGTCACAGTCGTTTTATGATAAGTTCAGTATGCAATTGTTTGCTCTTCATATATGTATTATTTTGTCTGATTTTTAATGCCAAAGCTTTGATCTTTGTTTCTATTAGCGCTCTGTCGTGTTTTGGTCTGTAAACTGTCAGCAGTGTCTTGTCCAAGGACGTCGCATGTAGGGATCAAACATGTAAACCTCCAGTTACAAGTGCTGTAGGTCTCTCAGGCTGTTCGACAGCGCTGCCATACCAGGATGGTAAAAGTGTGCTCCAAAGTTAAGTCAATCCATTTTGGCAGACTACTCCAACTCAAACAAAACACTTTCAGTAACTTCTGGATTGCTTTGGCAGCAAATAAATGTGCACTGCTGGAATAGTGATGATGACTGAACACACAAAGAAAAACAATATATAATTTCAGGCGCTTTCCAGGATTTGAAAAAGAAAGACGAAACTCAAAAGAAAGCCCACATTTGCACATTATCTATGCGTGACACCAAATAAATACATATACAATCTATTGTCTTTCATTCTCTAAAAACAACAGAACGGGTCACATCTGTTTGTTAAGCCTACTGAAAATTAGGCGGCAAATCCTAACTCAAAATGACTAACGTGCTTTTTTTCAGTACCTGGAATGTAGTTAGCTGTAATCCCGTTGCAAAGACTATAATCCCTCTTTACTGGTGCACATCTATCTATTACCACTGGGGAAGGAAAGGACAGAAGACAGAGCTGATACTGAACTTGACCTCCGCACACCAGAATACGGCTTTGACACATTAAGTGAATTTATGTGCATTGTGTGACCAACATTATATTTCACGATACACACTCTCCTTCCTTAACTGCCACTCTCTTTATCCAAATGTATCTTGCCAACGATTCATTCCCATTCATGCTGCAAGCACTTGAGCGTTCTCCCACCGGATCACAAAGTTTTGCATGCAGGCCGACAGTATCATGGCACCAGGAGATGAAGTGACCATGCCACTTACAACTCCAACCATGCATGGGCTGTAGACAAGCAGCACTACAGGGGTATCACGTTCCTTGTCTGTGTGAAGGTGTAATGTTATTCCCCTCATTTCTGCAAATGCATGCAATGGGCATCTCTAAAGCCTGCAGGCACTGTTACTCTACATACATGACTGGTTTTTAGGAGTTTAATTGGTGCTTTAAAATCAGGCGTTGTTTTACCAAATGTAGTTAGTTCAGTCTGCACCATCTGCAGGGATTTTAATTCTCAATTGATCATTTTATTTTTTATTTTAGTCCATCAGACACGTCTAACAACACAACACTAAACTCTGGACAAGTTACTCTCCCGTCTCTCCATCATTCAGTCCGCAACTTTTCAGTCAATCGCAATAACTTCACCGCAATATTCAAAGGAGCGTGTTTTCTCTGCGCGACCGCTGATTGGCTGGATGTATTTTTATTTTTTTAATAATTGCAGTATGTAGCGGATGATGTTCCTTTGGTCTCCGGAACATTTCGCACTTTGCCGCTAACAAGTGATGCAGTAAGGTCCACGCGCTCACTGCTGCAGAGCGTTCATAAATCAGCAACAATAACCTGTCCGTGTACCGGACAACAGACAAGTTAGAGCGATCAAACCACGCGGGGGGAAATAAAACGACTTAATACCGAGCGACAAAAAGATGCAAAAGGAGTCCGTTATAAAGGGATTTCAACAGGTTAACACGAAGCAGGTTTTTTTTTTAATTTACTGTTAAATTAATTTTGGTCTATAAGTACTTACAGTTAGTGAGAAAGTTTTCCTCTAAGGCAGAAACAAACAAAAAACAGCGAAAAGAAGAGTATAATCCATGTGTGACTACGATCAGTCTGATTCCGGATTCCTGGACTTGGAAATAAAAGTCACAGTGGGATCGCCTGCTGGATCGCAGTCCTTATTAGTTACACCGAGTGGCCCTCCCACTCTGTCATTATCACTGAAAGGCACTGTCAAGAGACTTCGGCAAACAGGAGGAACACGCGCTGAAAGCTTTCACATTAGGGGACATAAATGCCCAGCGGGGATCCAAACAAACTCTATTGTCTAACTCAGCCAGGTGCGGGAATTAAAACACCGTTTGATGCTTTTATCTTTTCTTCTCTTTTTTTATCAAATCTTCTAAATAGAAGGGCTAATCCACGTGGATTTGCTGGGCATTTAAGTGACTCCGTGCGTGTTATTAGCACTAAGTCAAGCAAAAAAAGAAAATATCGGAACAATACAAAGAGTCTTTACGCATAAATAATCTCGATACACGTTGATACAAAATTTGCACCTGTCTGTTAACCACGTACACCCTACCCCCCCAACACACACACACACACACAGCAAATGATACATGTCGAAAGAGTAGAACGGATTATACGATCTAATAAAGAGATAGCTTTCAGCAGAAAGTGCTACAGCAACAGACATTCTATTTTAGTCAGAATGCCATGTTGCAATACTTCATTGCTAGTGGAAGGCAACAACTTCAACATCCACTTTCACAGTTGTAACAGACTTCTAAAAGTATGTGGCAGCAAGCAACCCACCGAGGCCTATATTTGCCACATCCATATTGCATTACTGTGATTTTAAAAGTAAAGGAAGGTTAAAGGCACAGGTATGTTTTTGTTGAAAGAGCACACCAACAGTTCAAGACACAGAAACAGGTGCTCAGGCTCCCCACACGTCACTGTTTAGACAGATGATTTCAGTGCACCAGCCCCTTCACCACATGGGGACACGCAGACAGGCTGACTTTTCAGTCATGTGTTTAAAGAAACAATGGTCTAAAGAGCTACAGATGCGTACAGTGAAGCAGATGGCTATATTTCTTTGGTGAACAAACATAAGCATTGAATGTATTTTTGGTCTTTCAGTAGTTATCTGCTTTTGTTCCGAGTGAGGACTGAATTACTTAAATTGTTAGCGGTAGATAAATTGTCGTCTGTCTCGCAGTTAAGTTAGGAAAAGAGCTATCTTTACTTTTCTGTTACTAGTATCTTTTTAATATATAAGAATATATCACTTTGCATGAAAGTGGTGGTGTGGTGGGAGTCTTTCAATTCAAATATTATTATTCGTCTTTTCAGCTGAAATAAAGCCCCAGTGTTCAGTCTGGTAGATCCATGCCCTCAGCATGGCTCTCATTTCACTCGCAGTTCATTAGAGCCTTGATCAACTATGAATTGATAACCAGGTTCTGCACGGGCAATCAGAGGGACGGTTTCTCCATTCAACAAGGACAACCTCTCCATCGGCAACCAGATTATTTTACCTTGAATCATTTCTTCAACCTGACATGCAGGGATGGAATTCCAGATTTTCTTCAAGATGGCATCTACAATATTTAAAACAGTGTCATTTTTCTTCAATACCAAATACCTGAAATAAAAGCTGTTCACTGTGAGGTCGGTGGATCGTTAACTCTGAAAAGAAAAAAAGGCCCAGTTTTCCTTGAAATGAAATTTTCTCCACCTCTATTGCAGCTATAGGGGTCTCAGCAGGGGTCTCAGCGGTAAATAACTCAAAACCCTTGCAAACAAAAAAGAAACTGAATGCCTCAGTCCCACAAGCAATATGTGGGGTTTTGTTATTTGGGTGAACCTTTAAGGCTTGGGGAAGATTGGGGACATGGTGAAATAATGAAAATGGTATGACTCAGCATGCAGGCTGCACCATGAACCATTTAACAGCAACTTCAAATGTGCCCTTAAAGTCAGTCGTGGGCTTTAAAGATCTGTGTTTTTAATGTGTTTAACCATAACACAAACTGTCGTCTCATATTCAATGTGTGCGTATTGCATCTTAAAATGCATGTCACTAACTGGTCCATGGTGCAACATGATAAAAGCAAAATTTCAATTAGTGCTATTCAAACAATAGCTTTTTTTTAAATAATTAATAAAGAAGTAATATACTTTAAAGATACTAATAGCCTACCCACACAGAACATTTTCTCCTATCGCAAACATAGTGCAGTATTTGGGGAAATTTGACTTCATGGTCAATGCATCACCTAAACTTATGTACCTTTGCTGTCACTAAAAAGATAAAAGTGAGTGTCGGCGCAAAACAGGTGACAAATGCAGCCCACCAAGTGCTGCATCATGGTAAATGTTCCAAGCACATCTTACTGGAGTGACGTCTTATAAACTCCAAGGTCTCCAGAGCTGTCAGGGGGCTCTGAAACACCCTGGAGATGATTGTTGCTTGAGAAATATTCGGTGAGAGTATTCACACAAGACGGAACAGCACTTCGGAAAAAGTAATTTATACAATAAAAGGAAATTCAATTAGAATGTATGTAACTTAAGCCATGCCTGGCTATCATTCACGCGCACAGCACAACAAAATATGTTAATGAATAAGTCTCAGTTTCAAAATGATTGTTTTCCCAATAAATATTCCATTGTCAAGTTATTGAATGAGTTCATTAGTTGTTATTCAGGTAACAACTAGAATCCTGACTGTAGTTCATTGTTGGCCTGACCAGACTTTAATTTTTGAGAATTTTATATATTTGTTCTTTTTTTATAAAAGTCCAACAATCTGTATTCTGCATCACTGTCTTCATTTGGAACAGTCCTCTCATAATGTTTTGAAAAGGCATGCTGTTGCTTGGTCGCTTCTCACTGGGCAAAGACAGAGTGTGTGGGTGTCTAACCTGTATGAAAAAGGGTAACATTTAAAAATGTGTTAGCTTGAATTTTAGGGTTGGTGCTCCACTTGTACTATCCTTAAAATCCTCACTAAATCCAATGCTGTCAAAAGTCTTCAGGGCATTTCTTTGGCAGTTACAACATAAAACGGTTCAGTGAGGTCTGTGGATTAATCAGAGTTACCAGGACATTGTTGTCAAAAAGATACACTGCTGTTCATTTTATTTTAATGGTGCTCAAATGAAATTCCTTTCACCTCCTCCACTGTATTGAGTTGGAGACAGAAATCTCAGTCGCATTGAGTGTTAAAATCTTCTTAGATACCGCAGACATATAAACTAAACCACCTGTCAGAGGGCAGAAATTCATTTTATAACTCAACAGAAATTTGTTTTTAAGAAGACCATTGCATTTCTGGAATTGCATTTCAGCTTTAAAAGTCAGTTCGCATTTCAGTGAAAAGTAGGATGACAAGGGAGTGTGGGGATGCGACAAGCAACAGATGGTCATGCTGTTTCTGACCCCAAGACATTACATTGGCGCCCTCCTGATGTAACTCGGAAAGTTTTCCAAGACATAATGGCAGAAATTGCACTTTCAGAGATTCTTTTCTAACTGTGCACTTAAAGCATCTCATGTTTTATTCAGACAAACAAAGTGCTTATTCTAACATATGGTTAGCCACAGCTTGTGCCCTCTATCAGTTTTCCATTTGAACGTTTTGCATTGGTGATATTATTTGAGTCAGCAATTATATTCTTCAAAAAGAAAAAGGCAATATTTCAAATACCCCACTTACCCTTTGACAACATTTCAGTGTTCTGAAGACATTTGAGGTTCATCCAGCTGGAATGACAAACATTGTGTCTGTTCCACATAAAACAGTTTACTGAAACATTGGCTCACATTGTACAACTATAATGATCAATGTTGGACACCAACATTTTGAAATAATGAAAATATAATGTAAATACATGAATTTAGCTGATAACACTTTCGGATTTAGTGAACAGTCAAGATGAGCAAGGAAGTTAGTTGGCTAATTTACCATCTTTGGCTCTAAGAAGAGACACAATTACTTCACATTTTTGATTTATTGTTCATATATCTTGCTTACTTGTACATTACTATATCCTCTCTAGACAGAAAACCTGTTACATTCCTCCCGTGAATGACTTATACTTACATAAAACATTCATGTGACATAATGACTAACAGCCTTGTCTTGGTATCGTTAGCTAAGCTAGCACGAAGCTATGAGTAACGTTAAGCTTACTGTAACCTTAACTAAAGGGAATTGTGGGATTACCAAACATTTTCTCTTGATTTTATGGGACACATATAACAGATATAACAGCTAGCTGAATACCTCTTAGCATGGACGTATAAAGAGAACAATGCATGTCCCATCAAACAGACAGCATCAAATGATGACAGATTGCTAGGTACACCAAACCGGCCTTAAGGTACAAAGTACATTCAACAAGTAAATTAGAGCTGTCAGCAGAAATTATGCCAACCTCTGAATCTTTCTATGTATGGACGCAAACGCACTCATTAATTTAATTATGCATTCTTAGCTTGTCTTCCCTCTGGCTGTTAGGATGCACAACATAGGCTATGCTCAAAAAGCCTCCTTTCTGCATGATGCTTTGTTTTGGGTGCCTCTATGAATCTGTATTCTCAGCATTTCCATTAAACTAAATGCTGTAGTTAGTCTTTGCCAGATTTAACTATGGATAACATGCTAATTGTATAAGTGACGTCACCCAATACACACTGTATCCTCTCACTGTCACCACTAGCCACGTGCAGAGATCAAATATGTGCCATAAACCTTTTTTTTGCTTGCCACTGCTGACGTCACAGCGCATTTGGGCGTTATTGAGTGTTGATATATGTTACACATTTTCAGTGTATTGATCCAACTGGAACTGCTCTCAGTGGTCTTATTCATGACCTGAACATATCACCCAAACAAAATGACTCTCTGATAAAGTAGCTGCAGGATAAAGCAGAGTTTGAACTCCCCAAGTTTCAGTGTATCCATATAATCTGTTTATAATTCATTGTTTTCACATTGTTTTAATCAAAAGGAAAATAATGCCATCAAGTCACATCACTGATAAGTGTTCAAGATATGAAGGTTCAAGGTTCATCAGGTTTTAATGTGCTGTGACCAACACCATGCTTTGCTTGTTAAATCTGTTGATCATAACATCAGTATTTTTGGTGTTTAAATTGCAAAGGGCTGTAAAACCATCTTGTGACAAACAAACTTAACTAACACTCCTCTGATGTTGAATGCTTGACCTGTGTCTGATTATTCACTTGAAGACAAATACAGCACTCTCCTCTTTGGGTTTCTGTGTGTATTTGTGTGTGTGTGTGTGTGTGTGTGTGTGTGTGTGCGTGTGTGTGTGTGTGTGTGTGTATGTGCTTTTGCATGTGTGTAGCATCATATTGGTACAGGACATGTATGAACGCAACCTCAGCAAACACTATTGTTTTCGGCAAGCAGTTGTTTGTCTTGAATACAAACACACTAATGGCTGTGTTCAGATTCTTCATTACGCCAGTCAAGTCCCTATTGTTGAAGGGCTTTAGACGCAGAAACACCTGTCCATTTTACCGTTTCATCATTTACTAACTTGATATTTGCCAAAGCACAAGACAAAGAAAACATACCGTGTTTCACTAATCTGTATGCAGACATAACTATTGATGCGGACCTTTCATGTGCTTATAAAAAGCCATTTAAGAGTCTCATTCATCTTTTCTGAGAGCTCACCTGGGCATGAAAGCTTCCAGTGGCCTATGTAGACAATAAAAGGAAAATAATTAAAAAAGATACAATAACATGTCAGTTTGGCCTGCAGCTATAGGGTATTCTGGAAATATGATCACATAATTGAGCCATCTATTGAAATCTAATGAAAGAAAAGTCAGTCGGTGGCAAATTCACTGAGCTGTGTTAAGTGGCTCTCTTTGATATCAACTCAAACACTCAATGGTTTGGTATCAAGTTTAAACCTGAGGCACAAGTGCAGACATGAGTACTTTAATTAATGTGTCAAATCAAAATCAACCAAAGTCAATTTGTGGTGACAGAAACTGTAAATGCAATATTCTTCAGAAGCCATATAATACATATTAAATTCAGAACATCTTTGTTAAAACACTCTCTTTAAGGACCTTATTAAACAGCCAATTAATTAGATTTTTGTGTTTTGACTTTTCTAATTTCCTTATTACAGCAATGACATAAGGACCGCAACTAACGATTATTTTCATTATCTCTGCTGATTATTTTCTCAGTTAATCGATTAATTGTTTGGTCTACACAAAAATGCCTATTTCAGTTTATTGTCTAAAGTTATGTAACCAAATGTTTAGTCCGACCAACAGTCCAAAACCCAAAGATATTCAAAAAACTGTGATGCAAGTCAAATTCACACATTTAAGGAGTCACAAACGGATGATAAATCGGCTAGTCTTGGCAGCTTTAAATGGCACCACAATCAAAAGTACAATATTTGACCCTGGATGACATTGCTGTTTTATTTATTTTACACAGTGTTTTACACTGTGTTGCACCAACAGTATTTGTGTATCCTGCATTTAATGTGGTTGCATATTGTACATTTCTGCTGTCTGTACAAAAACACCACACTTGCTTTACAGTACATTACATTCCGGGTGTTCTTTAGCAACCTGCTCTCACATGATAGTTCAGGTTGCTGTGCAGCTTTAGTCATGCTAAATTAGAAATATATTCACAAACTGACCCCCTATCACCACATCAGATATCACATCAACAACACACAGCCATATCCCTGTGCTTCATCACTGTCTGTTCAAGTCATGTGAGTCTATTACTCTCAGCCAGTCAGTCGGAGGAGGTCACATTAACTGGTGACAGTGCATTTTTTTTCATTTTCAAAATGAAAGGACAAATTTGATAGGGGAACAAGCGCTTCAGGGACACAGCTATTGGACATGTTTGGAGCTGTTTCTGCAGTGTCTCGAGTGCTTTTCAGCTGGGGTTAGAAAGCTGGATTGGATGTCAGACAGAAACAAGAGTAGATGAGAGGTGGATGTGGTACTATAATTTTGCTGCGACTGAAGTATCATCCTCTAGAGAAAAAAAAATGGATTATAGGTTAGATGGGTTTTGTGATCTGCTCACTGCAGGAACCCCTGCAGCTGACTCATCTCATTATGAAATTAAAGAAGGATTAAGATAATATACGCCAATCAAAAGTAAGTCATCTATTCCCCAAACCCTCCATGATTGACAAATTCTTGACATTCTTGAACATTTTTCCCAGCAAGCCCCTTTAGACAGACTCAGGTACATGGCTTCCATTAGGGCACGTTGCCAAGCTGCGTGATAAAGGCATTTGCAGTTTTGAAAGGTTGCATGAATTAGGTTGACCTACCTTCTCTGTGCAAGTGAATAATGGGTTCTGAACAAATTACATTAGTTTAATTAAATTTCTTTTTTTTTAAGTCAGGGGCATAAATCAAGTTCAGATTTATGGTTATTGATTTTAGTGAGTTGAATTCTGAAAGTGTCCAAACCAATAGTGACCGACTAATTAACTGGTAAGAATGTTCCTCATTCCAATTAGTAACCGACTAATTTCCTCCAATACAATATAGAGAATTTTCACTTTCTGAAAACTTTAGAGGCTCAATGTCACCTTGGCCTGTTGCAAAAGTAATTACTCAAGTAATAATTTAATTTTGTCTCAATAATTGCAGACATGGTGAAGCACGACTGCACACTCTTACACTGTTGTAATTTAAGGGACAATATACTCCTTAAATGGAGTACTTCTCCAGGCACTAAGTGCCTAAAACTGTGAGAAGGGTGGTAGAATGAAAAGCCAGCAATGCTTTATATTTAGATACCATGAGGTCTGCCTGCAAGATAAATGGATATGAACTGAAAGAAGTGGTGAGCGTGCCTGGCATACAGTATGTGTGGAACCTGTGCACGCACATAAAAACCCAAGCTGATTGTAACACTTTTTCTGAAACAGTTTAGATAATCCCACTGCCGCATAAGTCTGGATCCCCTGCTGAACGAAAGGGAAGCTCATACCACTAAAGAGTTGGTTTTTATTATTAAGTGGTATTGCTGTGAATACATTTTTGTACTTCAAATAAATACATGCACTGGCTTTTAGGAATTCATGGTCCCTCTCAACATTAAGATGAGGAATATACAATTGGAAAGACCATAACATGTTTCTCAAGTAGCAGCAGGGATATCTGACAGAAGTGATTATACTGTGAAAATGACTCTTAAGTTGGCCATGATAGGACACATACGGGGTAGTAGAAAAATTGATATTGGCTTTACATATTCCTGAAAGTGGAAATTTAAGCAAACATGTCAGGCATATAGTATAGAGTAAAGTCATTGCCTAAACTAGCTGAAAAGTACTAACCAAAGAGAGGAGACAAAATAAACTTCAAGGGAAAAGTATATATTTAAGAGGCCAACACCAAGAGAGAAAACTGAAGGAAAAGAAGTCTAATTTACAGAAAGCAGATATATGAACTTCATGAAACACACTGCAGTGAGCCACTGCTCAGACAGCTGTGCTAATATGGAATTTTGCATTTGACTTGTTAACAATATGCATTTTACGAGAAATACACAATCATATCAGGGGACTACTACCGTCAGCACCAAAGACAGTGTCTGTTTGCTTGTGTGGGCCACTGCGGTGGATAATTGATAGCGAGTATTACCCCAATGATTTGCTATACACATGGGAACGCATGCTACTGCACCCTAATTTACAGTGACCTACTTCTAGTTTTTCAACAAATTTAAAGCTCACAGTACCAGATGAGCTTTCCGTATATACTGGATGAATACTGAATGTCAGTTTAAGTGCCATGTGTCCACCTGTCAGGCCATGTGCCAAAATGGATAGTACAATTGCCCCCAGAAGTACTGCTCAGGTGAGCCAAAGTGCCTGTGTAAATATTTTATATAAAACATTTTTATCAGCTTACAAGTTATGATCCATTGCTTAATGAGAATACCTAACACTGTCAAATTATTCTGATATGTTGATGCTATAAAAACACCAATCCAATTATAATAAAAGCCTATAATAACAGTTATAACAACGTATTTGAAATGTAAGAACATTTTGCTGCTCATGCTTCTGTGGTTTTATAAGCCAACCTTTTACTTAATGCAATTTACTCATGGTATCTAAATACTTTTTCCCTCACAGATGGTAGGGTGTTATATGAAACTAAAACTTCCGAGGACAGCTGACCCTAACATTTATTTGTCATCAGGCCCACTATCAGGCTCGGTCTATATTGTATTGTTGGAATCTACTGCTCCTGTATGGCCTCCCTGACCCGCCACCAGTGAAGCTTTTACATGCTACAGTTCACTAAACTGCTGTAACAGTGCAGCCCACACACATATAGAGACAACATACACACACGGACACACCAACAGACGTCACGGCTGCTGCTCGCGCTCCGCCGTGGTGACGTCAGCGGGAGCACGTGGCTTTGTTATTGCAGGAAGTGAAGATGGCGGATCAGCCGCTGCTCTCCGAGTCTGCGCTCGGGTGGTCTATTTTCACCTGTATACTGCTGGTAAGCGACTTTTGAAGTTGTCTAGTCCGTTTCACCAAGTGTGTATTGTTACACGAGTATTTTGAGGTGTTCCAGCAGGTGCGTGGTAAAGGTATTACGTGTATCAACGTCAATACAGGGCTCTGGGTTGGTTTCAGCTAACATTAGCCATGACACAGTTTCAGGCTGGTGGCCAGTGTAGTTTATTATACGTTTACATACCAGACTATTAGAAGCAGGGGAGAGTGAAACACCACTAAGGCGAGAATAGGAGGCCGGGTATTTTTACTCTTTTATACAGAAAATGAACATGTTTCTCGGTAACAGCGTCCAACTGTGCTGTGTCGTAGTTAGGTTTCTCCCACAAGGTTTTAAAATGCGCTTTACAAAAGTTACGGTCTGCCGTATAACAACGTTAGTGCCGCTGAAAACCAGCAAATTCCACCACAGACGCTGCAAACACGCATACATGTCACCTTTCCTTTCCTGCGAGTCATTATTTTTGACTTCACTGGTAACGTGACTTGAACTGAACGGCGTGAATTTGCTCAGCCAGGTAATCTGCTGCCCAGTTTAGCACTCATTATCTCTAGCTGTCACTCAAGAGTCACGTGGCTAAATCAGAAGCAGAATAGAAGAATGCTATTAAATTGCTCTGCTTCCCTAACCCACCACACTAGCAGCCCCTTCTATTTGAACAAACATTTCAAATGCATCCTATTTAGATGCAAAGCCCCTGTCATTACCCAGCAAAACAGGCAGCCGGAGGCTTAAGGCTGCAGGCCTTTAATTGATCCTGTCTGCCTTGATCTAAAGGGACTAGTTTTAGCAGTGTCCTCACTACTTACCGGTTGTGTGCCTTGAATACATCCTTGTCATTTTGGAGACCCTTATTTGCTTCCTTGTCTCATGACTTTCCTGCCAGTTGCTCTCGTTAAGCGGCAACACAATGCATCAGCAAATTCATGAATTAATTCAAAGTTGAAAACCGTTTGAGTCATTATTTTTGGCAATCAGCAACTGTTGAATAGACTAGAAGCACAGCAACAGCGATTCATTTAAACTACACAAATTCTCTCAATGTATTAATTCCTTCAAATTATTTTATTTACCAAATCTTTCTGCGATTACGTAGACAAAAATGAAATTGTACCGTTTAAAGCTTTAGTTAAAGAACAGATGGGTTTCCGACCTAATGGGTCCAAGTCATCAAAAACTGATAAAAAGTGCACGTACATGTACACCGTACACTCTGACTGCTTGTGTCTGATCAGGGAGAATATTACATCAGGTTGTAAATGACAGGATGGATAAGCAGTAAACAGACTTCCTGTTGATTTCATTTTTTGCTTCCTGGTCCGTGACCTTTCATTGGAAAAAAAATTGAAATTGACAAATTGAAGCTTATGTGAAGAAAACCTGACATCACAAACAGGAAAACAAATCTACGAATATTTATTGTGCATATTCTATGAAAGTGATGCTGATAGTGTATCAAGTATTGTACATTGCTGTGGTCCTAGTGGAGTTAGTAATCATTAGTCTTTATCAAAAAGGGGCCGTGCACAAGAACAAATAATCTCAAAATGAGAACATTTTTGATACCAGATTTAGCTCTTATCAATTTCCATCTGAAGTGCCTGGGCGGGTACACACACACACGACAATCACCAGACTGCGGCACAGTGTCGGAGCGGGTCATCCTTCAATCAGCTGTTCGGCGGTTCGATTCCCCGGCTCCGCTAGTCCATGTCGATGTGTCCTTGGGCAAGACACTTAACCCCAAAAACTGCTACCAGCTGACTACGAGGGGGTAGATAGTCCTGATGGTCAGGTGGTACCGTGCACGGTAGCCCCTCCCTTCAGTGGGTGAATGGGTGAACGACATGTAGTGTAAAAGCGCTTTACAAGTCCAAGTCCATTTACCATTGACTTGTACGTGAAGTCACTGGAAGGAGAAAAGTGACTCAAGTAAATATTCAATTGTTATTGTTCCCCATAATCGTTGTTTTAACTTGTTTTTTCTCTGTTCAGGTCATCCTGGCTTTCTGTTGGGTCTACATTCGGAAATTTCAAAGTCGGCAGGAGAGTGAGGTTGTTTCAACTATCACAGCAATATGTGCACTGGCCATTGCTTTGATAACTTCAGCACTTCTGCCGGTGGATATATTCCTCGTCTCCTTCATGAAGTATCCCAACGGTACCTATAAGGCGAGTATCTGTTATGCTAACAGCGCCAGTAAAAATCAATTTGAGGAATGGAGTTGTCCTGAGGCAGCTTTTAACTTTGCCGTGTAATTTTCATAGAATTAGACAACGTGGATGTTGTTTTAGTCCAATCTAAAAGCTGAATGCGTTTTCTGGGCTCATACATTTATTTGTTTTGCAAAGTCATTGCATTTGCTTCTATCTATTTGAAGATTTAGCAGAGTGTGTAATAGCATCTTAATTTGGACAGCAGGTAATTTCCTTGTTTCTGTGGGTTGTGAGCTGCTCTGTTTTTTTTGTACCACTTAGTCATGGCCAAGATAGGCTGCACATGTTAACTCATCCCTTATTCATTAATCAAACATGATATTTTGATGATCTCTTGGTGATTATACTTTGTAATAAAAAAAAATTACAAACAAGCAAAGAGGCATGAAAGCAAGTGGTGGCTTTTCTGATGAAATTTAGCCAAGTGTGAAGAGAAAATGAAGAATAATAACACTTTTGTGACAGGAAAAGATAATTTGAGCATGTCTCATTGCGGTGAGAATCATGTTCCTGCAGAAACGGACACATACATTTTATTTTAGGCTGTTACTCTTTAAATAATTACATTGTTTTGAATCTTTTTGCGTTTTCTGGAGAATTTGTTCTGAGAGTAAAATGCAGGAAATGCAAACAATGTCGGACGTTTTCCTACACCTGTGCTATGCATGAATAAAAATAGATAAATACACGTACCCCCCACTGCGTGTGTTAATTATCACACTATATGTTATACTTGTTAATGTTTTTTGGAATGATCTTTAATCTAATTGATGCCTGTTCTTATTTATTTGTATACTTGTCATTCCTTTTGCTGTTGAGCTTAATTTGAATTCTTCACCATGGACTTTTCCTTTGCTGACATCCAGGAATGGGCAGCAAACAATGAGACAAGAGGACAGATTGAAGACACTGTGCTGTATGGATATTACAGTAAGTGCATTTTTTAATACCTGTCTATGTGGGGGCACCTTAAAAAAATAAAATGTATATTTGTTTGCAAAATAATAGCTGGAGGATTATTTACTGTGGAATTTAGAAGAAATGTATCTGCTTCTCTGAATTAGCTCTTCTGTTTGAATATTTTCTCTGAAATTGGCTGTTTTGCGATGAATGATTATAAGTGTGCTGCTTCATTCTCCTATGATATCAACCTTGGAAACAATACGCAGAAACTTCTTGGGTATTGACGAATATTATTTTTAGTGTTTATTCGAGGGCAAACTATAACCTACACTCAGTGGTGGGCCGTCAGGGCCAGCTAAGCCTTCTCTGCTGGCCTAAACAGAATCAAAAAGTTATAGCTATTTTATAATTTTTCACAAATACACTACATGTATTATTTTTTTTCCCATTAGCTTATTTTCTCATTGCACAGCTCCTGTCTTCCTCTGTTGCTCTGCTTCCAGCACAGCTTGTTTTAAGGAGAGCTTTTATCCAATCAGATTCAGCCCCTATGTCTCTATGTAAGGAGAGAGGCCCGAGGTCCTCTAGGTAGACTTTGCAGTTTAAGTGAATGGGGACGATGTTGTTGATTGTCATAGTCTTCAACCAATCAGATCTTTAGTTTGACATGTTCATGTTCATGGCTTATTCTTTGACGTGCTGATGCTACCCAGGTAGCCTGCTAAGTACGTCAGCATTAACATGCGCTGTGATTGGTCAGTGGGCGAGCACATGACTAATGTGAAACTTAAGGAAGCTGGCAGAAGTTAGTTGGAGTAAGAATTCAAATTGAAAGACATGGAAGAAATAACATTTTTAGGGTTTTGCTTGATGTCGATTATTTTTAATTTTTTTTTCCTAGCTTTGTTTTTTAACACTCAATGGCTGACTCAGCCAGGAAAAGGATTTGTATGAACAGTGTTCCTGGCTGACAGCGTCCCACATTTTATGGCTGGGAATGTGTTTCGTTTTAACTGAGTATCTTGGTGTTTGGAGCTATGCTATGCTAACCTGAGGACGCCATAGCACAGTGAACACAACAAACCGGCCGAACGCAAGTTAGCTTAGCCTCCCTGAACACGTGCGGGCCTCAGCTGTTTTTTGTTATTGTTCCGGGTTCAAAAGATCACACATCCCGTTGTCTGTTATGTGAGCGCAGTCCACCGAAAACATTATATTTCCCACAATTTAAGCTTCTGCATTTTCCAAATGCACTAGTATTATTCAAACGTATTGTTCGGTTCGTAAGCCTCGTACCAAACGGTTTAATACAAATACGTGTATTATTACACCAATAGAAACAAATAACCGTAGCTCAGTAGGACAGCACAGAAGGCCCAGGTATAAAATGCACAGCCTGCCACTGCCTACACTGAAATAGATCAGGAATACTACTGGACTGACGTCTGCTGTGTAGAGAAGAGAAGCAAGTAAGCAGCAGTCAATAGTGTTTTTCAAAAAGTGTGAATCACAGTAACCACCAGAGGTCCTTGAGCATGCAGTCATAGATGAGCACACGAATTATTAGGCTGATGGGTCCAGGGGTATGCGAGGTTAGTCACGCACGCACACACACACACGACCAAACATAACCTCCTGCAAGTCGAGATAATGAACTACAATGGGTCGTACCTTTTGAAACAATAGAAAGCCCTTTTCACCGGGTAATGGTAATGGAAGGACCGAGCAGCTTGTTTTCCATGATCATGCAACGTGTCACAGATATCAAACATTTACTGCGTTTCCTGGCAAAATGCCCATTACGACCATTGAAATGTGTGGAATGTGTCAAATAGCAGGCAACTAAAGCTATCAATAATAAATTCCATTTCCTGTTGCATATTAAGTATGCTGAAAGTGTTTTCATTGGAGGTGACAGTAGATGGAGCGCACATACAGTATTCCCATCTCTATACTACCGGGGAACACGAGGTGAATGGTTTTCATGACCTTCATATGAAGACATTTTAGTATCATTGATACTTTGGCCACTGTGTCTTAATGATGGCCAATATCATAGTCACTCGCATCATTACACCATTTGCAGTTTATGTTTTGCATTTCTTGTACACAGCCAAAGTCTTCCTCCTCCATGTGAAGGTGGAACAGGATAGAAAAATCCTGTGCTCACAGATCAAGTTCATGTTTACAATTAATTTTTTTCTTCTATAACCTGTAGTAAGAAAAAAACTCCTTAAAGGCCACACACACACACCCATGGGCTATCCACACAGGTGTTTTTTTTATTTATAGTGATTGACATTTGTCTGGTGCTACTCCTGGTTTCACGTTACACCTTTTATCATTTTTATTGCTTCATGAAATGTGGCCGCCTCATGTAATTGAAAGCATAGCTCAGCCCAACTTCAGCCTGAGCAGAAGTCCAATTAACCAGAATAAGTGAAAACACCTGTTGACGGACCCTTCTCAGAGCAGACATGTTGGCTTATGTAGCAGCAAAAGTGGAATTGATGACTGTAAAAGACGACTGCATTAGATTCACGTCAGGTACTTCCGGTGTCGAGTACTTCCAGTAATGTGTACGCAGGCTCACTGTCGGGGCTTACTGAGCCATCGCTAAAGAAATGAGTTTCACCTGTGTTTCTGCTGCAGTTTGAATGTATAGAAGTTAACCTTTTGATATCGCCTTCTACAGGCAAGTAAGGAAATAGCTACTGCAATGTTGACACTTGCCACCTACAGGTATCGAGTGTGACTGCTCCTTTTCGGTAGTTTTAACAGTTTACCCTTTTATTACACTTAACAGGCCATACCTGTTTAAATATGGGTTAGGTAAAAAAGAAAATTAGGGATGCACCGATCCAACTTAAGTCCTGATACCGATACCTTGGCTTTGGGTATCAGTCGAGTTCCAATCCGATATCAGTGTTTGATTACTAAGCTGTATGCGGAAGAGACTGGGATCATTCTTTTGTGTGTAAGGCAACATCGGGCTTGAATTAAACTTTGCTTTCCTAACTTCGTAAAACAAAATGTATCAAATAAATGCATAGATATACATTTATTCAGTTATTATTTATCAAAATAATGGTATCCATCGATCCAGCTGTTTGAGTATCGGACCGGTATCCGCTATTGGTATTGGATATCTCTGAAAAACATGAAAGTTTGCCTTTATTTTCTCTTTCAGGGATTCAGACTCGGGGTTTGTTTACAACCGTTGCGACGATCATTTCAAGGCTCATGTTCCTCGCCTTATTCAACTTGGTGAAACAAAACGATAGCAAACAGTGCACAGAACCAAGTTATCTCGATTTCTATTTTTTTTTTTTTTTTTTTTTTTTCTTTCTTCTACAGAAGGCTAGCCACAGTGTTGCTTTCCAAGAACAACTCTTTACTGGCACTGGCAATTTGTTTTTGGCTTGAGGCAAGCTGTGTCGTATCATTTTGTAGGTTTGTCAAGCGTTCCGTCGGGCATCTTTGGATCGTCCTGCACGACTCTCTAGCTACGAGCCGGTCCCGTCCCCATGGATCACTCCATAATTCCAGTATTTGAGTGTGGTTGCAAATCATGGGGACAGTATCTCGGCCGTTTGGCTGATAAATTCCTAACCGAGAGCTATTAGTTCTACCGGAATTTCTTTATGATTGTCATATTAAAGGAAAGCATGAGTTTGTTGTCTTTGTCGGTGGCAAATTCAGTCATGCCAAAGACACTAAATCACACGTTTTCTAACAGATGCTGCCTTAAAGTGCCTGTCAGCAACACTGTTATGTACCGTCTGTTCAGAAATGCCAAATGCAAGGAAGACGAGCTGTCTCCCTGCCCAGACAGCCCAATCAAAGAAACCACTTCCCCTTGTATAGTGACATCAGAAAATTGGCTTTCACAGACCATGAACACTTCACCTGAATCCAGCATTCACAAATATGATTTCCTACTCAAGATTAATGCTCTGTGTGACCATCCATAGTTTGGATTAGACATCCCCTTTTAACGGAAACTTCTATAGCGACTTCCTAAATTAATAATCCTGTTGGCTTAGTCTTGGATGCGGGGCTGTTTCCCGCCAGTAGTTTAATTGATTTAATGGCCAAATTGCCTGGAAACCATGTTCGTGGTGCAACAGTTCAAGCTCAAGCAATGTTTCACACATGAATGGAAAAGGTTACGTAGTTGGTTTAGTAAAGTAGAACATTTGAGGGTGAATCTTAAGTCACAATCTCTAGAATTGTTTATAGAGTGGTTGCTGAAGTTGCTGTGCGTCATGCCAAGTCCTTATTCCACATACATGCTTTGATTCTCTATTGTGTGTTAAGTAGGCTTCATATTACGCACATAGTTTGTTAATACCATTATATACATTTTCTTATCCAGTTTCAAAAAAATCTTCCAAGAGTATGCATTGGAGGAGCTAGCAGAGGGATAAGAGAGAGGCTTGAAAGAGTTAGCTACCTGCCTCTAGCATGTATCTGTGTGATCACAGCTCTGGGAGTGTGTGTGCTGCAGAATCATCCGCCTGCCAATTTGTTGCGGTCCTGCAACCTTTGGCTGTCGATAAGGAGGGTTGAGTGCTTATAAAACTGCCTAAAATACAAAAAATCTGATATCGTGCTTAGTTCCTCAAAGCATATATTGGGAATACAGTTATAGCTTAGGGATGCCAACTATATATTATAATATCATAATTGAGTGAAATTGTTACTGATTTAAATACATACTTTACATACTAAGTAAAATGGTGCACATTCATGAAGATGACATTTTGAGAGGCCTATAAGTCTTTGCTGAAGAAGATATTCTTCCTTTCAGTCTCTTTAAGTATCCTGTTGTTCATGTAGAACCAGGGACTCTCTCCTCTCTGAGGGGCATTGCTTTTTTATTTGCCAGTAGGTGGAGACCAAGCTCCATGTGTGTCTCATTCCAAGTCTAACCTTTAAAGTTGGATTTTCTTTAAGGCCACATTTGACAGCGCTGTCACTGAATAACTGCAGGTTTGACATAGAGATCTCCTATTTCCTCCACT